AATAGGTGACAACTATCTCGATATTTGCCACCTTATTTCTCAGGAAACACTGAACATTAAGTTTGATATTATTGGACGTAGTTGTGATGTATGGTGGAACACTCTAGTGCTGTTTTCATATATTTTTTTATTATTTTGCTTTCCATGCCTCTGGAGACTGGCAAACTCAACATCCCTGTTTGGCAACTCATTTATTGGGCATCACAAGCCATTAAGGTCTCATGTTAATATACAAGGAAGTAAGGTGTATTTGGTATGCATTGGCTACAGTTTTCATTTGATTTTGAGATACTGTATTGTCTTCATTGTCTGGAGAATGGCAATGGGGATTGATCCCAAGACAGGTCTCCAGACCCCCTTTCATTACTCTTGATGTTCCATTCTTGTGTCTACCCCATTGTCATCCTGCTGCCTAAGGACACCCCAAGGTAAACAAAGCAATCATTACTGCTACCTACCTGCCCTACCTCTTGTTGGTTCTGTGGAGCAATGTCCTCTCGGCCTGGTCTCCTACCAGTCACCCTGGTTGGTGGTCTGGTCATCCAGGCTGTTGGCTGCAGCAGCTTGCAGCCTGACATATGAATCACAGCCTGGTTGATCAAGTATTCTTTGGAGGTGTTTTATCAAGTTGTTTCTTGAACACAGCGAGAGGTTAGCCAGTTATGCCACTTATGTGTAGAGAAAGTGTTGAAAGTCTTGGACCCTTACACATCCTGCCATGCCAGCTGATTTTGAGTGGAGTTATTTCCATGTACAGATTTGGAACCATTCCCCGAAGTATTTTCCAAGCGTAAATTATGTCTTGCTAACGCTCTAAAGAATACAGGTTTACAATGTTTAAACAGTCCCAATTATTTATGTGTTTTATTGAGGGGATTCAGACGGTAAAAGATCTTTGCACGTTCTCTAGATAACAAATTTCTTCAGCTTTGAATGGGGCTATTAGTGAGCAAAATATTCCACCCTAGAGAGCACTGATGTCTTAAAAAGTATCATCATGGGTATGCATTCTCTGGTCTAAAAGAATCTTGTTATCCAACCTGTCTTTTTCTTCAGTTGTAGCAGCTTCTTTAAAGGTAAGCTCTTCCATCATGATTGCTCTCAAATCTTGTATATGGCTCACAAGAGAGAAATTTGGACATGGTAATGATGTGTTGCATAAGTGAAGGTCGGGCTTATAGACAGGATAGTATCTTCGTAGGAAAGTGTCTACAGGGTACTGTCCTCACGAGGAACAGCTTATCAATATGGCAGTGTCTTGGTGTAATATAGGATCACAGGGAGTAGTTTATAGGGTGATGACCAGACCACACACTAGAAATTGAAGAGACGACGACGTTTCGGTCCGTCCTGGACCATTCTCAAGTCGATTGTGAGAATGGTCCAGGACGGACCGAAACGTCGTCGTCTCTTCAATTTCTAGTGTGTGGTCTGGTCATCATACTTCAGCCACGTTATTGTGACTCATCGCCTGCATAGTTTATAGGGTCTTCATAGGGAAGGATCCATAATAAGGGTGTTTAGTCAGGCGGTGGTCTCGTGGGTTCCCATAGTCAAGGTGTTGCCTTTCTGGGGCAAAGGGCAAGGTTTCCATTGTTGGGGACAGAAAGCCTGATTGACAGAGTGAAGTCCCCTTAGGCAAATGATTGACCTTTGCCTGGTTGCCACGCAGATTGTTGCCTTGCTCCCAGGCATCTATTTATTGCTAGATAAACAGAACATCAGCTCTAAGAAACTTAAATTACTTTTTTAGTTAGAGAATCGAACTCTAGTTCAATCAGTTGTAAGTCAAGGGCAGAGTCTTTGTGGGTATGGAACCATGATGAGGGCAGTCTTCGTAGGTAGAGAACCATCGTCACGACATTTCCTTTTGGGATAGTTTAAGGAGCCACAGTAAAGTGCTTCTTAGTGCACAATGAAATCGTGTTATCAATGAGAAAATTGGAAGTGCAACCTGGGATTCAGTTGAATCACAGGATGACCTGCTTTTGACCATGTCGTGTAGTCTCTAGGACGTTTGCTTGGGAGTACCAAGTGTCCGAGTTCGAATCCTCCTCATGGCACCTACTGATCTTCTCGTGGGTAAGGTGCCATATTGAGAAGTTGGTAACAGCTGGCGTCCACACTGGTTAAACTCACTCGTCAGTTTCACCTGGTGCCCGTGTGTCTGGAAATGTAAACAACAGACTGGTTATTCTTATACATAGTGAAGCAGAGAGAGAGAGAGAGAGAGAGGATATATTATCAGTGACAAAAGACTTTTGTATGTCTCAGTTACAGGTGTCGTCTAATGAATAACGAACGGGACCATCCATAGCTTATAAAACTTGAGTGGCAGCCATATCGTGCATCCTACTTTAATTACAAGAATTCTACCCATTACAAATATTATCTGCACCAGATATGCAGGGATACCACGAAATGTTGATAACATCTAAGAGGCACCAGGCGAGTTTTCCATCAACCAATTTACGAGCAATTCAGGTCTAAAACATAGGTGGACGGAACTATAAGGCCGCCATAATCACAGCTTCGGCAGTCACGCACCAGGTAGCAGCAGCAGCCAGCAGCAGCAGCACTACGGACTTGTCATGAACCACAGTGTTCCAAACATCACCATCAGCATCTTCGTACCATTCGAACATCAACCACTGTAAAGTGCATCAAATACAATGGGCAGAGTTTCACCCTATGCCCCTGTTACCTAGCAGTAAAATAGGTACCTGGGTGTTAGTCAGCTGTCACGGGCTGCTTCCTGGGGACGGAGGCCTGGTCGAGGACCGGGCCGCGGGGACACCAAAGTCCCGAAATCATCTCAAGATAGCCTCAAGATCTCAAGATATCCACCAATCTCCTCACTGTATGGGGTTAGTCAGCATACTATCAAGCTTTACACATGTAACGTGAATGGTCCAGGACGGACCGAAACGTCGTCGTCCCTTCACCTTCTAGTGTGTGGTCTGGTCAGCATACTTTAGCCATGTTATTGTGACTCATCGCCTGCTTGCACATGTAATATACGAGCTGACAGCTTCCAGGTCAATGAAGGTTCATCGTCCGTATTCACCTGAACCTGGATTCATCAAGCACTTACACTCGAGAACCAGGGGCCAGATTCACGAAAGCACTTACGAACGTGTACATCTTTCCTCAATCTTTGACGGCTTTGGTTACATTTATTAAACAGTTTACAAGTATGAAAACTTGCTAATCAACTGTTGTTATTGTTATAAACAGCCTCCTGGTGCTTCGGAGCTCATTAACTGTTTAACAATTGTAACCAAAGCCGCCAAAGATTGAGAAAAGATGTACAGGTTCGTAAGTGCTTGCGTAACTGCTTCGTGAATCTGACCCCAGGATTTAACAAGTATTTACGCGTCTACTTATGAACCTGTACATCAATTCTCAATATTTGGGGGGCTATGTTTTCATTTATTAAACAGTGTACGACGAGCTTAACACTTTCCAATTAAATGTTAGCTATAAATAGCTTCCTACTGTTTCACAGATCTTAAACTGTTTAATAAATGTAAACAAAAATACTAAAGACTGATAAATAATGTACAGGTTGGTAAAAAAAAATATCAAGGGAAGCGCGAAGCCATTACGACTATATAGCACTGGGATAAGGGCTATATAGTCGTAATAAGGGCTATAAGGGTCAGGATAAGGATTTGGGATGGGACGGCGGGAGAAGGATGGGCACTATTCGATCGACGAATACGTACGGTACGGAATTGGACGGTCAGGGATTGAACGCCGACCTGATGAAGCAGACCGTCGCTCTACCGTCCAAAGTGGCTGGACTACAGGTTGGTAAGTAGATGCTTAAGTGCTTGATGAATGCAGGTGTGGAGGCATCAGTGGGCAGAGGGTGTAGATTGATGATTGATGAAGATTAAGCCATCCAAGAGGTGGCACGGGCATGAATAGCCCGTAAGTGGTGGCCCTTTTGAGCCATTACCAGCATCAAAAGATGATACTGGAGATCTGTGGAGGCGCAACTGCACCCTGCGTGACGGGAGATGTCTCCCGGACCAAATGGTGACCAAATGGTGACCAAATGGTGAGAGGGTGTAGTGTAGTGTAGAGACGAGGGTCGGGACTGAGGCTGGTCTGATGGTGTAAGTCCAAGTACTGACGTGAACCGTATTCAGATAGGGATGTGGTAGCCATATGACGCAACACGTACGCGACGTCCTTATTTCAGCATGTATGTGTATGTGTGTGTGTGTGGACTTGAAAGCACTGCACGCTGAAAGATTTCTTACCATCGTGCATATAAATTTCTCATTAATTAAAAAAAAACATCACAAAACTTATTACAAAAAACAAGACTTTTGAGTCTTGCATGTAAAGTAAGTAAATGAACGTATTAAAGAAATGGTTTCTAGAAATGTGACGTGCACCACCCAAGACATTAAGGCTTAGGCTTCAGAAGAGATTACAAGAAGCCAACTATCCCGCCTTCAAAGCACCAATGAACTTACTGCTGTACATCCAATACACACAGAAATCACAATTGCATGATGCATCAAATGAACAAATCCACAAGGGTCGTGACGAGGAGATTCGAACTCCTTTTAACCATGTAGCTCAGTCGATTAAGGCAGCGTCTGGGATGCTCTCGGACGCAGATTCGAATCCTCGTCACGGCCCTTGTGGATTTGTACTGTACATCCAATTCTGAAGGTTGCAAACTTTAATGGAACATGAGATACGTTGGTCAATAAACACTATCACTTTACCGATGCTCATGCAGTTACAAAGAGGTCCATATAAAAGGTCTTGTTGTATAGTCCTCTGCGCAACCGGGGATCCCGGGTTCAATTCCTGGGTGTGATAGACTGTTGGGTATGTTTCCTTTCACCTGGTGCTACTGTTCACCGACAGTAAATAGGCGCCAGAGAGGTAATTGTTGTGGGTGGAATCCTAGGGAATAGCAGTAGTTAAAAAGGTGATATTAGTGTGTTACTAGTAGTTAAAGAGTTTTCCATAGCATGAAGACTGGCGGGTACACAAAGACTCTACTCACTATTTACAGCTTGGTATCCCTCGCTGTAAATAGTGAAGCTAGTGATGAACTTGTTCCAGCATGGGTGTCAGCAGTGAGGGGAGGTAAGGAGGTTTTATATCTTACAACACTTACAAGTTAGGCTTCGTTACTCCCGTAATAATGATTCCTGGCACTGTAGGCTCGCTTTATCAACGTGGTATAATGTGAATATCTCTCTCTCTCTCTCTCTCTCTCTCTCTCGTTCGTTCGTTCGTATATATAAAATATCTTGCTATGAAGTTTACAATATTAACACATTTTGAGACTCTTATACTTTGAGCTTCGTGAAGCGGAGCTCATACATGAAATCCAAGGAGCATTTCTACAATTTTCTAGTTGTGAACACAATTTGAGCCGTGCCTGGTGTGGCTGTCTGACTGGTGGTTGATGAATTACCAGGGCCGTGGCCTCAGGGCCTGGAGGCCAGCGATGCCTCTGGTGCTCCCACTGGTCATACCTCACTGCTGGTGTAGATCGTCAGGGCAAGACTGTTGGTTTGATTTCCACGTTCCTCATATCCTTCAACTCCAGTTTCTACTCTCTTGAATCATCATTTTCCTCACGCCCTCCCTCCCATCTTTCCCTACCAAGCGCAACATATCTGCAACATTTGTCGCCGGCACGTTCGTGTTCCCTCTTTGCAATATGTTACCCAACACCCACTTCCCCTCCCCGCACCCCCCTCTCCTCCTCCGCACCCCCTCCCCCCTCTCCTTGATGTTCCTTCCTTGCAATATTTTACCCAGCGCCTCCACCTCCCTCCCACCGCTGCCCCCTCTCGCTCATGTCCCCTCCTTCCTGTATGTTCTCCATCTTCCTTCTTTGCAAATGTTCTCTCTTCATTTGTATATTTAGTTTACATATATATATATATATATATATATATATATATATATATATATATATATATATATATATATATATATGTGTGTGTGTGTGTGTATATCACGAAAATAAACACGTGATTAAGAATGTGACAATGTCAGACCACGGAGGAAAAATGAAACAGGAAATTTCCTTAAGTACTTATGTATATTAAATACATCTTCAGAAGGTGAAGATGTATTTAATATACGAAAGTACTTAAGGAAATTTCCTGTTTCATTTTTCCTCCGTGGTCTGACATTGTCACATTCTTAATCACGTGTTTATTTTCGTGATATACACACACACATATATATATATATATATATAATATATATATATATATATATATTATTATTATTATTATTAAATATGACCGAAAAAGTAAGATCAATAATTCTAACACGAATCTTCTCAATCTTTCGTACAATCTTTCGTACAATCTAACTATGCCTTCAAATGCCCTCTTGGGGACTGTAAGCTCCAAAAAACCCAGTATATAGGCAAGACAACAACATCTCTTTCTAGGCGTTTAACGATGCATAAGCAACAGGGCTCCATTAAGGAACATATCTCTTCCCACAACCAAACCATCGCCAGAGAAATCCTAGTAAACAACACAGAAATCATCGATAGATACAGCGATAGCAGACGGCTTGACGTTTGCGAGGCACTACACATTAAGAAGTCAACACCAGCAATCAACAGCCAATTAATGCACAACTATATTCTACCCACCTCAAGACTCCGCTCCAATATAGAAGCATCAAGAAATATGGACCAATAGGCTTTCTACAATCACTTCCATTCAATACCCATTGTTTCGTGTTCTGTCTTGTGTTGATGAATTTAATACCCTATTAATACCACCTCACCCCATCTACCTCACTCAAATGTAGATATAAACAAATCGGAGATGTGTAAGTTCTATTCAGTTGTGTATGTGTAAACTAAAGTCTTTGAAAATGTAATAAGTTTTACGAAACGCGCTCAAGTGTCGCGTCAGACTAGAAATAAAAATGAATTTTGGAGAATTGATTTTTGAATTACCACCAGCAGTGAAAAGAAATGTACGAAAGATTGAGAAAATTCGTGTTAGAATTATTAATCTTACTTTTCGGTCATATTTAATAATATATGTCTACAGGAAAGACTGCTACCAAAATATACTAATATATATATATATATATATATATATATATATATATATATAAATATATTATACCTCACCTTGAACACTTTGTTTACTTCGTCAGTTTAACCTTATAATGTTGTATATTGTTGTAATTTCCTTTTGTGTTCATTGTTATATTTGCTCAGCAGCAGCACCCGGTGTGGTGAGACCTCGTGCTATCAGTCTTAACTCGTAGCTCAGTCCTCGCACCTCATGAACGAGCTCTCTTTCATATATTTGGTTCTCTTCTATATATTTTTTGCATCGTTTTGTTTTGCGTTGGCGTAGAGAGTGCCGGAGCAGCATACTCGCAGTGGAGCTCGGGTAGGTTGTGTATAGCATTTGGGTTATATCTCTTTACACATTTTTCCTTTTCTGATTCTGAATCTGTTCCTTCCCCCTCCTTCACTCTGTCCTGCTTTTATGATTTCACTGTTGTTGCTATCCTCAAAACTTTACATTTATCTGGGGGGGGGGGGGGGGCAATAGGTTGGGTTTGGAAAAGTTGTTCAATGTCAACCAATAGTTTTTGACTATTACTATTATTATGACGTTCATTAGCTTTTGACATTTTTCGGACCACCTGGTGTGTGTGTGTGTGTGTGTGTGTGTGTGTGTGTGTGTGTGTGTGTGTGTGTGTGTGTGTGTGTGTAGTTCATTTTGATATTGTTATAGTCCTCAGGTTTTATTCTTCTCATTAGCAGCCTATTGCCTATGTTAGGTTATAGATATATATTATGAACAGGATGGTCCCTGGTACCGTCCTTGTAGTACTCCACTCTGATATTTCCCCTCTCACTGTGACCCTCTTAGTCTCCTTCATAAGAGGTATTTCCTTACCCAGCTTGGAACTCTTTCTTGATACACCAGCCATACTCTAGCTTGAGTAGTCTTGCGAGAGACAGTGTCAACAGGAAGATGTGTTTTGTCAAACCATTTTTTCTTCATTTCTTCTTATGTATCGTAGAAATCTAGTAAGTTTGTCTAGCGGAATTTCCTTTAGCTAAATCCGTGTTCATGTTTGGTAACGAAACTACACTCTTCTAAGTGCTCCGAGCTTCCTTCAGCTCAGTCACTCGTGCCTCAGAGATGCTTATTAATACTGGTCTGTTGTTGAGTCACTCCTTGATGTGGAGGCACCACGTTATCATTTTCCAAACTTGTGATAGTTCTCCTCTTTCTAGTGAGAAGTTGAATGCTATAGAAAGGGCTCTACTAAGTGCTGCAGCTGCCTCTTTTAGTATCCATGGTGAGATCTTGTCTGACCTTGTGATTCATCATGTTCAGCTTCTCTAATTCCCTTACTTTTGGTGTCGCTGCTTTTTTGATCAGCCTCTGGGAGTGCCTGTTATCGTTGACATCTTAAATCTACAAGCAGTCAAGGTTGTAGTTCGAAAACGCCCTGAAAATTTTATTTCACACATTTCCTTATCATTCTCTGCATATGTGCTCCCTGGCGTGTGTGTTGCCTGATCATTTTTGTACCGCTTTTCTGCTGCTTGCCTAGCTCCTATGTACTCGTTCTTTACTTATATGTAACTCCCTTCTGTACTTCATTTGTCTTTCATGATCTTGCCTCAGCTTGGCCTCCAAACACTTGTGAAATAAACTGTTTATCTCTTAAGCTCGAGTACTCGCCCAGGACTAAAGTCTCCCTCAGAGTTGATACCCTGGTTGATGGGGTTCTGGGAGTTCTTCTACTCCCCCAAGCCCGGCCCGAGGCCAGGCTCGACTTGTGAGAGTTTGATCCACCAGGTTCCCATGTCACCCATGGGAGCCTGGGTGGCGTGAGCCTGGGACGTAAGACACCCATGTCTTACGTCGAGTCATCGTTGAGAAACATCTTCACAACCTTACGTAGCCATACAAAACATGGCGGAAAACGTGCGGACGCTTAATGTCCTTTACAACAAGGCTGCCAGTGACGTCACTAGCCCAGTATTGGCTCACCCCATCCCCCCCCCCCCCCGACACTAACCACAACCCATTAAAAGCAAGGAAATGTAGCTGTTTATCTCTCGGAATGTTTGGTAATATGGTTATTGTTTGTGATGTGTGTATATGTATGTATTAACACGATGTACTGAACGGGGTGAGAATAGCTTGAGCTACCTCATCCCTTTGTGTGTATTTTACCTCAATAAACTTATTTCAGTTTCATTAAAACCATACCCATACCATGCGGCTGCAACTGGCGCTCACGCACACACCAGTCCCGCACTCGTGTGCAATAAATTAAGAGTGGTAAGCCAGCAGAATGAACTGGGAACTGTAGAAGTGGAGGCCACTTCCATCTACAGCTTTAAGAGCAGATATGACAAGGCGAGGAAAAGTCTGCGGGAACTGTTACACCAGTTACCTGATAGCCAGGAGGCGAGGCCCATTACCTGCTCGTTATCACTATATTCCTCTACGTCTATACACACACACTCCCATTAGGATACCATTTATGATATCACTGAATGCTATCCCACCAGTGCATCTTGGCCAGACATGTGCAGGTCTATGGTGTTGCATGGGGTGATCAGTAATGAATTTCCTTCCCGTTGGTACACGATGTAACAGCTAGTGTCGCCCTGCTTTTTCATCCACCTGGACCACTGTTCAGCGCCACCATCCACCTGGACCACTGTTCAGCGCCACCATCCACCTGGACCACTGTTCAGCGCCCCCATCCACCTGGACCACTGTTCACCGCCACCATCCACCTGGATCACTGTTCACCGCCACCATCCACCTGGACCACTGTTCAGCGCCACCATCCACCTGGACCACTGTTCAGCGCCACCATCCACCTGGACCACTGTTCAGCGCCACCATCCACCTGGACCACTGTTCACCGCCACCATCCACCTGGATCACTGTTCACCGCCACCATCCACCTGGATCACTGTTCAGCGCCACCATCCACCTGGACCACTGTTCAGCGCCACCATCCACCTGGACCACTGTTCAGCGCCACCATCCACCTGGACCACTGTTCACCACCACCATCCACCTGGACCACTGTTCAGCGCCACCATCCACCTGGACCACTGTTCACCTGTTCAGCGCCACCATCCACCTGGACCACTGTTCAGCGCCACCATCCACCTGGACCACTGTTCAGCGCCACCATCCACCTGGACCACTGTTCACCACCACCATCCACCTGGACCACTGTTCAGCGCCACCATCCACCTGGACCACTGTTCACCGCCACCATCCACCTGGATCACTGTTCACCGCCACCATCCATGGACCACTGTTCTGCGCCACCATCCACCTGGACCACTGTCACCGCCACCATCCACCTGGACCACCACCACCATCCACCTGGACCACTGTTCAGCGCCACCATCCACCTGGACCACTGTTCAGCGCCACCATCCACCTGGACCACTGTTCACCACCACCATCCACCTGGATCACTGTTCAGCGCCACCATCCACCTGGACCACTGTTCAGCGCCACCATCCACCTGGACCACTGTTCACCACCACCATCCACCTGGATCACTGTTCAGCGCCACCATCCACCTGGACCACTGTTCAGCGCCACCATCCACCTGGATCACTGTTCACCGCCACCATCCACCTGGATCACTGTTCAGCGCCACCATCCACCTGGACCACTGTTCACCACCACCATCCACCTGGATCACTGTTCAGCGCCACCATCCACCTGGACCACTGTTCAGCGCCACCATCCACCTGGACCACTGTTCAGCGCCACCATCCACCTGGACCACTGTTCACCACCACCATCCACCTGGATCACTGTTCAGCGCCACCATCCACCTGGACCACTGTTCAGCGCCACCATCCACCTGGACCACTGTTCACCACCACCATCCACCTGGACCACTGTTCACCACCACCATCCACCTGGACCACTGTTCACCACCACCATCCACCTGGACCACTGTTCACCACCACCATCCACCTGGACCACTGTTCACCACCACCATCCACCTGGACCACTGTTCACCACCACCATCCACCTGGACCACTGTTCAGCGCCACCATCCACCTGGACCACTGTTCACCACCACCATCCACCTGGATCACTGTTCACCACCACCATCCACCTGGATCACTGTTCACCACCACCATCCACCTGGACCACTGTTCAGCGCCACCATCCACCTGGACCACTGTTCAGCGCCACCATCCACCTGGACCACTGTTCAGCGCCACCATCCACCTGGACCACTGTTCAGCGCCACCATCCACCTGGACCACTGTTCACCGCCACCATCCACCTGGACCACTGTTCACCGCCACCATCCACCTGGACCACTGTTCACCGCCACCATCCACCTGGACCACTGTTCACCGCCACCATCCACCTGGACCACTGTTCAGCGCCACCATCCACCTGGACCACTGTTCAGCGCCACCATCCACCTGGACCACTGTTCAGCGCCACCATCCACCTGGACCACTGTTCACCGCCACCATCCACCTGGACCACTGTTCAGCGCCACCATCCACCTGGACCACTGTTCACCGCCACCCATCCCGCGAGTATTCCAAATTTGAACACACGATTCTTACAGTGAAATACAAAGATAACGTCTCATTCCAAGATTCAGGACAAAATGTAATCAACAAAGCCAATATTTCATAATTATCTATTCCCTCAACTTTCACCTTTTTTTACACTACGAACCTTGACAAAACAAATAATGAAGAACCAGTATGTAGTCCGAAGAACCATCAGTATGTAGTCCCAAGAACCATCAGTATGTAGTCCCAAGAACCATCAGTATGTAGTCCCAAGAACCATCAGTATGTAGTCCCCAAAAGCACAGTTCCTACTGAAGCTACTGTGATAACGCTTTTCAACTTGCCACTAATTAAGCCGGGTAATATGAAGCTAATAGCAGAAATAGTCAAGTATATTAACTTCGAATTTAATCTGATCTTGTTGCGAGGATCAATGTCCCCGAGGACTGATCTTCGACCCAGCCTCCAGGTTGATGGGGGTAATCAACTGTTGGACGCCGACGCGCGCAGTTATAACCCTGGGAATCAACGCGGTTGATCAGGTGTACTTTCGAGGATATTACAAAAGATAATAAAGATAATAAAGGTGGTGGTACTATCTTTTGGATGTGGAGAGGCCGGCTGGTTGTCAGTAGCAGCAGTAGCAGTAGCAGCCGTCACTCCGACCGTTGTCCTCATACCCGTTGTCACACTCCTTACTTTTACAGTGTTGCTGCTGTCTGCTGCTGTGTTACTGTTGCTGCTGTCTGCCGCCGCTGCTGTGTTACTGTTGCTGCTGTCTGCTGCTGTGTTACTGTTGCTGCTGTCTGCTGCTGTGTTACTGTTGCTGCTGTCTGCTGCTGTGTTACTGTTGCTGCTGTCTGCTGCTGTGTTACTGTTGTTGCCGTCTGCCGCTGCTGCTGTGTTACTGTTGCTGCTGTCTGCCGCTGCTGCTGTGTTACTGTTGCTGCCGTCTGCTGTCGTGTTACTGTTGCTGCCGTGTTACTGTTGTTGCCGTCTGCCGCTGCTGCTGTGTTACTGTTGCTGCTGTCTGCCGCTGCTGCTGTGTTACTGTTGCTGCCGTCTGCAGTCGTGTTACTGTTGTTGCCGTCTGCCGCTGCTGCTGTGTTACTGTTGCTGCTGTCTGCCGCTGCTGCTGTGTTATTGTTGCTGCTGTCTGCCGCTGCTGCTGTGTTACTGTTGCTGCTGTCTGCCGCTGCTGCTGTGTTACTGTTGTTGCCGTCTGCCGCTGCTGCTGTGTTACTGTTGTTGCTGTCTGCCGCTGCTGCTGTGTTACTGTTGCTGCTGTCTGCCGCTGCTGCTGTGTTACTGTTGCTGCTGTCTGCCGCTGCTGCTGTGTTACTGTTGTTGCCGTCTGCCGCTGCTGTCGTGTTACTGTTGCTGCTGTCTGCCGCTGCTGCTGTGTTACTGTTGTTGCCGTCTGCCGCTGCTGTCGTGTTACTGTTGCTGCTGTCTGCCGCTGCTGCTGTGTTACTGTTGTTGCCGTCTGCCGCTGCTGTCGTGTTACTGTTGCTGCTGTCTGCCGCTGCTGCTGTGTTACTGTTGCTGCTGTCTGCCGCTGCTGCTGTGTTATTGTTGCTGCTGTCTGCCGCTGCTGCTGTGTTATTGTTGTTGCCGTCTGCCGCTGCTGCTGTGTTACTGTTGCTGCCGTCTGCCGCTGCTGCTGTGTTACTGTTGCTGCCGTCTGCCGCTGCTGCTGTGTTACTGTTGTTGCCGTCTGCCGCTGCTGCTGTGTTACTGTTGCTGCCGTCTGCCGCTGCTGCTGTGTTACTGTTGCTGCTGTCTGCCGCTGCTGCTGTGTTACTGTTGCTGCCGTCTGCTGTCGTGTTACTGTTGCTGCCGTGTTACTGTTGTTGCCGTCTGCCGCTGCTGCTGTGTTACTGTTGTTGCCGTCTGCCGCTGCGTTACTGTTGCTGCCGTCTGCCGCTGCTGCTGTGTTACTGTTGCTGCTGTCTGCCGCTGCTGCTGTGTTACTGTTGCTGCCGTCTGCCGCTGCTGCTGTGTTATTGTTGATGCTGTCTGCCGCCGCTGCTGTGTTACTGTTGCTGCCGTCTGCTGCCGTCTGCTGTGTGTTACTGTTGCTGCCGTGTTACTGTTGTTGCCGTCTGCCGCTGCTGCTGTGTTACTGTTGCTGCCGTCTGCCGCCGCTGCTGTGTTACTGTTGCTGCCGCCGCTGCTGTCTGCTGTCTGCTGCAGCTTCAGCTACTGGGGTACCAACAATGAGACAAGTGCCATTGTGCTTCGACAACTTTTAATTATGAATGCAATAGTTAATTATGAAATGTCAAATATCAATGGAGAAATGTATAAAGAATTAAAAAAACGAGAAGTCGGCTGCTGTTGTTTCCATCTAAAAAAGAGGGCGAATTTACAATGAATAATTCGTTTTTTTAATTGCGTGTGGTGTAGAATTCATGTGGTTATGCTTTTATTTTTTTGTACCCCCTTTATTGGTGATGGAAAGGGCAGTAGGTGTGTGTGTTTTACTGTAGGTGACGTAACTGATGCTATTGTGTGTGGACTGATGCGTCCTCGGGTAATGACACCATTGGAATTGTCAACACCAGTGGTCCCAGTGGTGCTGGTCCCGACCACCAGCCGCACCAGTGGTCCCGACCACTACCACTAGCCGCACCAGTGGTGCTGGTCCCGACCACCAGCAGAATACAATTCCTGGCGACATACAATCGTTCCAAGGTATGGTTGCTGGTACAGCAATTGCCTATTGGTTGGCGCAGTGGTTGTCGTTACGCGGGTCTGTTATGTTGAAGGTAATGCTGGAGGGGTGACCGCGCGGACAGCCTTGTTCTTGGGGATAGTAACGAGCTTTCTGTTCCCCCTCTTGTCCCCAGATATGGTGTGCCATCCGTCTCCTGAGTCAGGGAGGTGGAGGGCACAGGTGAGGGAGGGGGAGAGGATTGGAGGTATATCGTAGATAATCTGGCGCTATAAGCGAATCACATTTGGACAAGGAGCAACTTTTTAGCTTGAGTCTTTTGTAGTTTTGTGAGAGGGGAGCCGTCCCCTCTTCTCCAGCCTCGTCCGGCTCTTGGAGTTAAAAGCCCGGCCAGCCCGCCCTCTTACCTCCAACCACTCCACCTTAATATTTGTGCACGCGCCTCTCGCTACAATTTCTTAAATAAAATTTAATTTATATAAAGACGGCATACTGTGTTCATAGCAACCGAGGCCTGGCAAGTTTACCTTTTTTCAATTTCGAGAGTTGTTTTTCTTTGCAGCCTGACTGTCTTTGCCAATCCCCTGAAGGGCTTCACTATGCCGTGGTGAGGGGGGCTCACATATGATGCCCTGGGGCCGGTAGGGGTCACGGGAGACATCTCCCGTCACGCAGGGTGCAGTCGCACCTCCACAGATCTCCAGTATCATCTATTGATACTGGTGATGGCTCAAAAAAGCCACCACTTACGGGCTATTCATGCCCGTACCACCTTTTGGGTGGCTTAAACTTCACCGGTAAGGGTTGCCTCACCCCCTCCCTTTCCGTTCCCGGCGCTGTACATGCCAAGAGACAACGTAAGGTACCTGTTGGGGTCATTGAACCAGGCGCCAGCGGGGTAATCGGGCGAGCGGCCGCGCTCTGCGGTAGGTTTGGGTGTCCGGCAGGAGTACGGGGCAGAGCGACCTTTGCACTGGTGTTAGGGAGTGTTCCATGGACCGCTCTGTTGAAGAGGGAGCACTGTTTCACACGCCGCATTCTTTCATGAACTTGCCCGGCGGCATTCGCAAGTTGGGGTTCTCAGCCAGGCTGTAGGCATAGAGCCTGGCTAAGCATGCATACAGGCTGTACGTTGTGATGTATTGGCATTCCGAGTGGTATTTGGCGCCTTTTTTCGCCTTTCCTCCGCAACACAGATTGATCTACATAGTCTGCCCAGATTGGCACCTTTTGCCAATCAGTTCTTTTATGTTGTTCCTGATCGGCAGCAGCCGGCAGACCTAGGTAGCCATTACAATCTGGCTGATCAGGTACATCCTGTAGTAATTGGTCTAGATTTCTCTCATGACCTCAACCATTGTTTCAGCGATATTTCTCACATTTACTCGTAGAAGGTTGAACTGTGTTGTTGGTGTGTGACGCTGACAGTTACACTCCTCACTGGGATTATCCTGAGCTCCCTACCGTCTCTCTCACTCTCCAAGACTCCAAGAAGTTATTTTGTTTTACACACGAGGGAGAGGCATCTTAGAGGCGTCCATTCTCTCTCTCTCTCTCTCTCTCTCTCTCTCTCTCTCTCTCTCTCTCTCTCTCTCTCTCTCTCTCTCTCTCTCTCTCTCTAATGGTTATTAACATTTCATGGGGTATTGACCGTCACAGATGTGGTGATCAGCTTGTCACTATAATCCTCTCACCACCACTACTGCCACAGTACTCCAGTACGCCAGACTGGATCACTCGGACCAGCAAGTACAATGTGAGGACCATGCATAGACGCGAAGGTTGGTGTGGAGTTGAGAGGTTGCGGGCCACTTATCTCTTCCGCAGGGAGTGCGTAGCGTATTTCTAACGGGGATGACCTCGTATCACACCTTTTCCGGAGGGAGTGCGTAGACAGCATATCTGTGTGTGGTTGTTGAGCACAGGAAACACATGTGTGGAGGGAGGAGGGGTGCAGGTAGCCAGCCCATCCTCCTGACCATAGTATATATATATATATATATATATATATATATATATATATATATATATATATATATATATATATATATATATATATATAATATTATATTATATATATACCGACGTGGAACGAAATTAGAAAGTCGAAATCTGAAGTGTTGAGGTGGGCAAACCGGGAAACAATTTTTTACTTGTGTTGCTTTGACAAACTAAATCTAACCTAACCTTCCTAGTTTCGCTCCCATCACAGTCGACGTGATAATAGTCCAGGATGGGCCGAAACATCGTCGTCTCCTCATTTTCTGGTGTGTGGTTTAGTCTTCCTAGGTCTAATACTGCCCGAAACGCTGCGCGTACTAGTGGCTTTACAAGAATGTAATTACTATGCTATGTA